CCATATGGGTTTATTCCCTTTTCTTTAAACCCCTTCGCCCCCCTTTAAAAATCTATTTTTTTTTAACCAAAAAAACTAAAAAAAAAAAAAAAACAAAAAAAAATCGTGTAAAAAAAAAAAAAAAAAAAAGAAAATCTAGATTTTAAGGTCGCACTAGATTCAATCAATACGGTTAAAAAAAGACAAAAGCAAAGCTTGTTTCTTATTTTTTTTCTTTCATAACGCCATTCTTTGAGCTTTTTTCTTAACATCGCTAACTCATATTTATCAAAGCCCTTTCTGACTACAAGACTTTCTTGGTAACTAATGACTTTTTCCAAAGCTTCAACAGCTTCTGCAAGGGTAATCGGAGGAGGTGGTGGTGATCCCTCGTCAGAGTCATCAGATTCTTCTTCATGGAACTCATTTGTTACTATTTCAATGATGCCTTCGTCTGTTAGAACATCCTCAGTTATAGCCGGTTGATCTATCATATAAGTATATTCTTCAATATTATCTATCAATTCTTGGGCCGCCGGGTTAGTCTCAACTGAAAGGTTATTAACTAATGCGGCAAAATCGTTGATATCATTCTCTAATCCATTTTCTTCTTTGCTTATTTCTAATTCACTTATTTCCAGTTCATTTATTTCCAGCTCATTTATTTCCGGCAGAATCCTAGTGTATCTCCAGCAATTTTTTATGGTAGTGTCATTAACACCCTTCCAGGCTTTAGCGATGAAATTAATGGCTTTTTTCAATGTAAGTTTTCTAATATTTTATAAATGATAAATGATTAATATATAAAAGAGTATGTTAATATAAACATTCTTACCTTTGATCCTTATTTTTTTCAAATTGTTCTAGTAAATAATGACAATACAGCTTTTTATATTTTGATTTGAAGCTGTTGATAATTCCTGCGTCCATGGGTTGCAGGTGTAAGGTGGTGTGTGGGGGTAGGAAATGCACAGTAACATTTGTAAAAGGTAAATCATTCCTTGATTGATTAGTAGAGGTGGAATTAGTTTTTTTCTTTGGTCCTTCTCATATTCTTGCTTGTGTCTTTCTTCCTCGTGAACTTCCTTGTGCTCCTCCTCTCTGCCTTCCTCTCTGCCTTCCTCTCTGTCTTTCTCGTGGCTGTTCCTGAGGTTCTTCTTGAAGCTCTTTGATTTCGTCTGCAAAATCATTTTTAGACGATGGTTCATCTGTATTATCATCTTGGACTTCACCTTGGACTTCACCTTGGACCTCACTTGTATTATTTGTTCCGGGAGTCATATGGGAAGCCGCGTTGTCAACAAAAAGCAATACCCACCTACCTTGAATGCGAAAGCCTTTGTCGATAAAACGCAACTATTGTTCCCAAATGTCGCTTCTCATCCACACCTTTTCATTATTTTGATACATTACTGGTAATTGTGATATGTTTATCTCACTAAAGAAACGTGATTTCTTAGAAGTACCAATGACTAGTAGATGAAATTTATGAGAACCAGTTGAATTTGAGCCAAGTAGCACTGTTATTCTTACTTTCTCCTAAAAAATTTGTATTTTTTTCAAGACTTTTTAACCAATTTTAATTTTTTTTTCTTATTTTTTTTATTTTTTATTTATTTTTAGGTTTTCTGGTTTAATTATTATTTTTAATTTACCTTTTTTTTTTTCACGATTGGTTCTTTAGAAAGCATTTGGTTAGGTAGCAATCGGTAGAAGAGGCCTGTTTCATCAGCGTTATATATGTTTTCTAGGTCATACCTAGAAAGAAGTTCCTGCAATTTGAGCCATTCCTTAGGTAAACTCTCCAAGGGTGCACTTGCCGCTTCGCCATGTATTGTGATTTTTTTTAATCTATTATGCTTTTTAAATTTAGCAACCCAACCGTTTGAAAATGCAAGTGCATCTTCAGGTATGGCAAATACTTGTGCAAACTGGTGTCCCTTCTCTTTTACTAACGAATCTGATATAATCATCCCTTCTGTTATAACCCGTTCTACCCACATACTCATGGCAAGTTCTAATCTGGGATACTTCACAGAATGGTGACGAAAAATTTTTTCAGCTTGCTCATCATCATCTTGAAGTTGTTGATATTCATTAGCTTTACTTAGGATTTTTGTTACAGTAGTGCGGTCAATTTTCAGATTTTGATAACGTTTCATGAACTCATTTGCTATTTAATGGTGTTTAAATAATAGATTTTTTTTAGCGAATTCACATATCTCTTTTTTTTGTTTGTTGCTGATGTAACCATGCATTTTTTTAAGTATGGATTCAGGAGGCATAGCAAAGGATTAGGAATTAGAAATAACTAATTCGCAATACTATATTCAGAGAACTATCATTATATATTTACAGGAATAAATCCAAAGTTAAAGTTTTGGAATCATTAGTTCTTTTATATTAAAATATATTTTTTTTCTTATAAATTTTAGGCATATCAAGTGTATCAAGTTTTTCCTGGAAAATTTACTTCATTAGTGTATAAAAAAAAATAGATCTGTTCTAAGAGAAGCAATGCACATAAATCTATACTAATTTGCTCGAATGCATGTATCATTGCAGATAAGTAATTCCTTAAAATTTCTGCATTGGCATTGTTACAAGAATTTTTTTTATTTGTAATAATCAAATTTTATATCACAGGCTTTTATACATATAATTGTCTGGAGCATAGCAGAGGACATTTATTGTTTTGTCAAAATGATACAAAAGTTACATTTGAATTAGCACCATTAGTTGACTTAAATATTGTTATCAAAAGCATAACTTTAAAAATTCAGGTTTGTCCGCGGGTGTGTTCATATTGATTTTTGATTTCTCTAATGCCTAATTCCTACTAACGCCAATTCCAAATTAGTTTAACCAGTGTTTAAAATCTATTATACAGGATCTGTAATACACAGATTAAAAATTCATCCTGTATACAAAATTTTCTTGGAATCTGTGGATTTTATTATGTCCATATATATCACGCATCTTTTTTGAATTTTTATTATGTTTACAAAAATTATTAAGCTTTTTGCAAAATTGAATTTTAA